AGAATTGGAAGATCGCCGACATTGAGAAGTTCTGAAATCAATCAAATTATTCAGGAACCATTGCCGTTGCATTTATAATCAGCTGTAGTACCCTGTAACGTTCCTAGCACGATGACACTTGCGACACGTGCCAGAAGGTCTACCACATTTTTTCGCGCAATATTTTTTCTTTCACTACTAGATGCCTGCAGAAGTGAGGGTAAGTATGCTCGAAAAAATCTTGTGGTTGGATTCGCCGGTTTATGAAATGGAAAACGGAGCTCGGCGAGACTCTAAGTGGACAAAAGAAAACATAAAATGAACAATGTTGACTAATCCATTGTACCTAACTTGGATGGGAAGTATCACTAGTTTGTTGTCCGAGTAAATCATTTAAGATTTTTATACTAATTTTGGTGTCGTATGCATAGGCCGTGCCGACACTAAATTCAGAAAATACGATTGAGAATCAATTTAAAATAGACATTTAGTCGACGAAAGCTAGGGGATATTCCGATTTCCTAGGAAATTCCTACCGCTTGAAATCGTCACTAGAATCTTTTTTGAAAAAAGAAAATCAGCGCCTTTTCTGGCCTCACCAAAACAGTAAGTTACAGTACAACTGTGGCTATTTTCTGGATTCTGTTCACCGAGCAAGTGAAAATTCACAATTATTGATTTCTGCTAAAAAATTTTTGAACGATACGCAAATCAGCAAACCTAATGTATACATCGTTCTAAATGCAAACATTCAATGTATAAGCGACAGTTTTTCTCATAATCGATTGCGAATGCTTAATAGTTTCGATGCATTTCAGCGGAACAAAGCATTTGGTTTTTTACAACAATAAATCTATTATAATTGTGTGGTTTATGTGTTAGACGGTGTTTGATGCATACGAGCTCATCGCAGCAAGAAAAAATTAGTACACCATGCCAATGTTCAATTGCTTACTCGGCTGACATTGCGTGAGATGAGTTTAAGCAAAAAATCCCACAGTTTTTACTAATTGAGTTTAGTAGAGTATGACCCACCGCCCATAAAATAATGATGACAATGAGATTGAGTGGAACCCTGAAGAGGTTGATGGTAGTTGAACGAGTTTCTTCTGGCACATATGCACCTCGTAGACAACCCATAGATGGCCAGAATATGCCAACGCAAATCTAGATAAATATATAAGTGTTACATAATTTTAAAAATCGAGGAAAAAGACTGTAAAAGTCCAAACGCTTTTATCACACAAGATATAATATTGTAAATTTTTGAAAACTCGAATCTCACCTCAAAAACTAGAAAAGCTATAAATACTAGTACTACACTAGTCGGAGCTATAACCGGTACTGCTAAGCAGGCAGCTGACAGTAGAAGTACAAATCTGAAATAATCTTCATTCTAAAAAAAACTGGGTTATTGAACACTTTATATAACGTTTCGAACGCTTGATTTTCATTTTTGACGTGAAGAAGGATTTTTGTTTTTGATTTTTGTTCGAAATTTTTTTGATTCTGTTTTTTTCAAATCCCATTTTTTAACCTCGATTTTATTGAGTGTGACCAAAACACAAACCGCATAAAATTCTCCGGATGTCCTGTCTTTGACAATAATTTGAAAAGTGAAGAGCCCATCATAGCGGCGACCATGAACGAAGCAAAAATCCACCCATGAGGTATAGTTTCACCATAGGCCTTAGAATAGAATATAAGGGACACTTTTTCTTGTCAATCGTTCAATTACCAACCTGAGAAAGAGCTGGTGTCCATTCAAGGACAAAAGTATACATTGATCCCTCAAAAAGTGACTGTACCAGTCCCAAACAAAGCACGTTCACATCTAAACAGATTAAATTCCCTAGTCGATTGGAAACTAAGTTGTGATAATTTTTTAATGAGTTTAAACAAACAGTGTTTGACGAACTGA